TCTTCTTCTTCTTCTTCTTCTTCTTCTTCTTCTTCTTCTTCCTCCTCCCTCCTTCCTCCCTCCCTCCTCCTCATCCTCTTCCCCCTCCTCCTCCTCCCCCTCCTCCCTCCTCCTCCTCCTCTTCTTTTTCTTCTTCTTCTTCCTCCTCTTCCTCCCTCTCCTCCTCCTCCTCCTCCCCCTTCTTACTCCTCCTCCTCTTCTTCCTCTTCCTCCTCCTCTCCTCCTTTTCCCCATTCCTCCTTCTCTCTTTCTTCCCCTCCTCCTCCTCTTCCTCCTCCTTTTTACAAGTTGCCTAACTTTAAATGTTTCATTATAGTAATGGGAAATGGATGAATGTAAACAGTTTCAGGTCCATCAAAAATTTGAGAAGGTACAGAGATTTCCTATGTATCCTCTTCCTTAAATATAGATAGTATCTTCCATTATTTTCATCTTCCAGGAGTGAGAGGGCTATACTTCTTACAATACAGACAATATTGTCACACCAAGTTCACAGTTCACCTCAGGGCTCAGGTTTTGGTGTTTGTACTTGGGCCAAGTGCACAATGACGTATCCATCATTATAGAATCAGATGAGTAATGTTATTACTCTAAAAATTTCTTTACTCTGCTTAGTCATTTTTTATTGCCTCGTTAGTGATGTCTTTTCCAGAATGTGATATATCGTTGGAATCATACAACATGTAGCCATTTTAGATTGGCTTCTTTCACTTAGTATTAAAGTCTTCTTCTTATCTTTTTATGGTCTGATAGCTTACTTCTTTTTAATGCTGAGGAATATTCCATTGTAGCACAGTTCATTTTTTCACTCATTTACTGGACACTTTGGTAACTATTGAGTTAGGGCAATTATGAATAAATGCCCATGCGCTGGTTTTGATTAGACATGTTTTCATTTATCCTTTGCTGGATATATATATATATATATATTAAGTGTAGATCTAGTTTCCTATTGAAACTGGTAATTTTTCCTCCAACACTTGTACTATTTTTGACTCTTAACAATGAGTGAGTTTGTTACTGCTTTACATATTCACTGCCATTTGATGTTAGTATTTTGGGTCTGGGGAATTCTAGTTGTATAGTGGTATCCCCCTGTCAGTTACAAGACTATTTGGGATATTAGATGAGATCACTTCTTTGAATTGCTCCGCTCTACATGTGCTACACTATAGGTACTCACCATTGCCAGCCCCTCCCTCCACAGTACTTGGTGTTAAGATGTACTATGAGGATTCCGAAAGAAGAGAGCAAGGAAACAAATACAAAATTAACACAGAAAAATGTATCAAGTCTGAAGTGTCTAGAATGGGGATCCACACCACTCACCGCTCTTTGGGGCAAAGTTGCCATCTCTAAGTTCTATAGGAACTTTCATAACACAAGAGTTGCAGGACCCTATTGTTTATTTATTTACTTTTAGAGGAAAAAGGAAAAGCAGGAGGTGGATTATGAGTGTGAGGCGGAGTGTGAAGAGCAAGAGAAGGAAGAGGTTAACGGAGAGAAAGGAAAGAAAATGAACACAGGGTGGGACTTAGGCAGGAAGAAAATATGGGGAAGATTTTCCCTACTAGAGAAGTGTACCTCTACTGTGAAAGGAAGGGAAGCTACAAATGAGCAGGTTGCTCCTCTTTCATTTTTTGCCCTGATCCTACATCATTTCTTCCATCAGTTTGGCACTGCACAAGGCCATACGCATAAACAAACATACATGAATTCATTGAAAGTGTACTGTGTGTACTGGAATAGCAAAGGTTGGGACTCATGCATTTCTGTTAAATTCCAGAGGTTAAGATGAATATTTAAAGAGTTAGAGAAATGGTCTTTTGAGGAGAGTAGCTTTAAATCTGTTGACCTTTCATCGATAATTCCTTCTACAAAGGAGATGTTATATGCATATAAATTGTCTGTAGGTAATGTCTTTGCTATAAATGACAATGTCCTGTTTTGCAGAATGATGTTCAAGATATTAGAGTATCTTGCACAGTGGAAAATGCAAAATTTTAAGTTTGAATGACGATGTATTTCTTTTTAGTCTTTGTAGCCAACGTAGATTTAATATCCACAGAGTTATAAGCATAGTGGAATAATTTCAACATCCAAATTATAAAGATCATTACCAGACTTTGGATGTGCATTGTGATCAAAATAATTTTTTATTAAAAGTGATATAGAACTGCTAATAGGCCATTTTGTGGCTAGGAGAAATTTTAAGAAATAGGTAGATTTCAAGAGCATTCTTTCAGTTGAGTAATAAATGATTTTAGAAAGGCACAAAAAGAAACCTCATGAACTATTGTTCTTTTAAAGGAATTGTAAATTGCAAAGTAACTTAGTGCATGACATAACTAGCTTAAAATTATAACAAGATTATTTCTTTGGCTTCTTCTTAAAGCCGACCTAAAATTAAGTTAAATATCATTTAATGACATTAGCTATTGAACTTTTTCAATGCTTTTAAAATGAAAAAGTAAAGTTTTCTAAAGTGACCATGACATGTTTAAGTAACTATTTCCCAAAAGATTCACTGTATAATTTCACTTGAGAAGATATGAGTAAACACAGGTCTGCTGCAGTATTGTAGGAAGCAATTTACTGTTTCCTCTGATTTTGGAAAACCTTTTAAAATACACAAAATACGCTGCCCTTGGCCACAAACTTTTTTTAAGTTTTCAAAACTGGATAACCAGTAGTGCTGATAGCTGTTCATCAATGGGCTTAGAAATGTCAGGGGTAAAAAATGGACCACTTACTGAATTTTTTCCCATCTACCCTTTGCCCTATTGGCTGCTAAACAACATTACAACTGATCTGTAACAGGGTTACAGATCTAAAGATTTTTTTCCTATGAGCATACACAAGTTTCTGTTAGAAGATGCTCATTTTTTAAAGTAAACAATTACTTAGTATAAAGAGCTTTATGTTTGACCCAGTAGAGCAATCAGCAAGTTTATCTAATCCTGAAAACCAGCTCAACATGATGTTTGAGGCAGGTATTCACCTTTTCCCCTAAAGAGTTTTGCTGGCAGCAGTCAAAACCAAAGTGGGAATTTAATAAAAATGAAAATTGTGGTAGCAAAATATACTTACAAGGTTAATTTTGATCTATTGCAAAAAGTTGGTAGGTTATAGTGGTTTCTATCTAACCACAGTACCGATTTAGAAAATCCCCAGAGAAACAGCTGCATTTTGATATATAACCTGCATTGCCTGCATAGGAAACCCAAAATTCCAGGGTATTTCTTCAGATACCAGAATCTGAATACATAACACTGGTAAAAATCACATGCACTTCTTGTTGAGAAACAGTGTAATAAAACCATAATGAGTCTAGGGAGTAGGGGGAGAAAACAGACAAGATGGGGGAGAATGGTGAAAGGTGAAAATAGGTGAGGGAGAATAATGATCAAGAATTGCTAGACACTTAGATGGACAACTCATGCACAACTTTGGAAGTTCAGAAAAAATAAAGGTATACCTATTCATTACAAAACACATTATTTACTCTAAAGGCCCTATTGTCTATTATTTTCACTGCAGGTTGGGAAAAAAAGTGAAGTCAGTTCTGTAGGGCCACTCAGAAAACTGTGGTGCTCATACCACTGGGTTCTCATACCTGTGAATGCCTCCATTTCTGGCATTTGATGGCAACTGGATGAGGCAGACCTGGAAGAATTTTTTCCAGATGATGGAAGATTAATTCCTGCACATTTTCTGCACTGTGCTCCAAGTACTTAATTCCAAATGGGACAGTGGTGTGAATCACCAGGGAAGGGCCGATTTCTGATGACTCTGTAGAGTAAGAGGAACATAACCATCTTAAAGGGGGACAATGGAAGCATCCCCAACACTTCAACCTACAGTTAGAAGTAGATCATAATCATTAGGCAATAAATGGAGAATAATCAGATTCTAATATTGAAACATAAATGAGGTTATTTCAGAAATTCAAAATCAGCTTTAGCTGATCTTGTATATATCATGGAGTTATTATACATCGGTAAAACTTATAACTACAAAAGTACAATTATGACTAATAGTAATGGAAACTAATAATAAACTAATCATAACTTGAAAAAAAGATGTTTTAGAGAACAATGGTCAGGTGTTGCCAAAGGACTGGAAGGAAGGGTAACAAGAACACTTAATAGGTACTGATTATGATATATTTATTGGTGTTTAAATTTTCTCTGATCCACTAGAGTGCAAGTTCTTCAAGGCCAAATATTTTTAGCATCTTCAAGTCCAACTCCAAACTCTTTTTTTAAAAATAGAATTGTTCCCATATTTTTTTTTCCTTTTTTAATGGTGATACTAGGGTTTGAACTCAGAGAACCTGGACTTATCCATTTTACATTATAATACAAGGGAACAGAGTATTTCCAAATAATTTTACATGCGTGAAGTCAGAAATATGAATCCAGATACGTGCAGTAAATACTTTGTGACTCAGCTGGTGTGTCCAGCTGGTCTGTTCACCTCACTATAGCTGGAGCAACTTCAGGAAGAAATGGAGGAGCCATCATGCTGAATGTTAACCAGGCAGTCAGGACTTTACTAGTTACTAGTCCTAGCAGGATGCAGCTTTAGTCTGAAATATCAAGTTCTTTTAGATAATTCTATCATGGTGAGAAACTCACTGCATATTGCCTCCATGGATATTATTTATGGCATCAGTTAATAAACTCAGGGAGGGAATATCAATGATAACCCTTTCTTGTATAGTACCAACTATTCTCAGAGACAGAGAAGTTGGTCATCATTCTGAATCCCAGAGCTGTTCTCAAAAATATCTACACAGACTTCCTAGGGACAAGAATGATAGTTGTGCACTGAGAATCAAGAGGTTGCACTGGCCTGCCATTTGTTCTAGGGAGAACTCATAAAGTCACTAAGACCAAAGATGGCGAAATGCCAAGTTCCTCCCATATACATTATTAGCCACATACTCCTAGAAGAGCAGTAAAGACTGAAATTTAAGAACTAAAGTGAAACGGCTCTTATATAACAATCAGAGAACAACCAGGTTACTTGTTCTTGGAACTAGACAACATTTTTTTTTGAGAATTTAAATTACAATTTGAATAGTTACAACCTAAAACAATCACTTTAAGGGAAAGTGCTCACAACCCCCAAATTAAAGGGTATTTTTAGTGCTCAAATCCAAAATTACAAAGTCATCCAAAGTTTAACATGACCAGGATTTGGGAATGGAGAAGTACAAAGCTCACAAATATATCAATAGGACAGACAGAACAAACAGTAGAACCATTATTACTTAGTCACTGAGAAGGTAATAATTCTGTCCTTCTCCCTTTTCCTCCCCTTCTTCCCTCTCCCCCTCTCTTCTTTGCTTTATTTTAACCAGTATAGTATTTTGCTTTTGGCATTTCAGACTGCTTATACATTTAAGCAACCATGTTAAATTTAAACTCCAAAGTAAATCATCATCTTTATCCTTTTCTCAAAAAATTTAGAGCCTTAGATGACTCTAGGTGTGACTTTATAAGCTTTCATTGATTTTAATCATTTCACTTCTTGGTTTTATCTTATGCAGTCCCATTGTTTATCTTTATGAACAGCTTCCTTCTTGTATCTCAGATCCTCCTTGGGTAATTTTTCTCTTCTTAAAGTATCTTTTTTTTAAGTTCTATAAATGAGGTCAGATTGAAGGTTATCTGTCAGTTTTTGTTTTTGTAAAAATGTGTTCACTTATCATCCTCTGAGAAGTAATAGATATTCTTAGTATGAAATGTTAGATTGAAATTGTTTTCTCTGGATTTAAAACCTGTGATTTTTTTTTTTCTGATGTAACTTAGCTTCTACTGAGGCAGCTGAGAAGTCAACTCAACTTGAATGCATGCTTGTTTGCTGGTAATTTTTATTTTATATAGAGTTGATTTTATGATTTTCTTTTTGCCTGTGGTTTTTGTACTTTTTCTTAGGTTTATCCTTCTTTGGCTTTATTGAGTTTTTGGAATCCAAAGTCTCAACTTTGTCATTTAACCTAAAAATTGGTCACTTCTTAAATCTGTCCACATATCCTTCTATCATTCTATTTTCTTATCACAGAAATTCCCCAAAATATGTTAGTTATCCTTGTCCTGTCAGCATATGCTTTATTTCCTTTTCATATTTTCCATCACTATCTCTCTGCTAAATTCTAAATAGTTTCTGATTTATCTTGCAGCTTACCATGCTCTTTACATCTGTGCTTATCTGTTCATTTGCTTTTTGAGCTTTGAAATAATTTTATTTTTCATCTGTACAACTTCAATTTATTTTTTAAAAATCTGCACAATAAATTTTGATGGTCTTTGTCCTTAGTAATACTTCTTTAGATGCATTAAATACGGTTATTTTATATTGTGCTGGATAATTCTAAAAACTGAAGGCTTTAGAAGGTTGCTTGTGGTTTTTATTGTTGTTATTCTGTAGATAACTATTGCTCATGATGTGGATTATCCTAGTGGATTTGGTAATATGCTCCTATATGTTTACGTATTCCAGACATATGTACATATATATGTATATTTATACATACAAATATGAACTATATATGTGTGCGTATTCTATCAATATCTATATATACAAAGATACATATTTTCCCTATGGTGGGGTGAGCTTTGTTATCTACAAATTTTATCTGAGAAATTCTTTGGGGCCCGAGTTTACAATGCCCCTTTAGAGATTTGCTTTTGCCTCTTCTAGATACCTTTGGGCAGTATTACCCATGACCACATTAGCTAGATTTATACAGTCTGATGTCAGAATGAATTCTGGCACCAAATCTGCTTAGGGGTAGATTTGTGGTTTGGCATCTCAGAGAAAACATTTTCTTTCTTTTTAAAACACTTGTTTCTTTCTATTCCACTGAAAGACAAGTGAGCAGCCCCATTGTCTTCTCTGGCACAGAGTATATGTCAAGATACAGAGAAGCTCCTAAAAGCTATGAAAGTGCACAAACCATGTTACAAGCTTGACAATCGTAAAAGAACGAAAATACGTTTTCTACAAAATCAAATTCATCAAAACTGAATTAACCAAAATTCATATAAACCCAATGACATCCAGTAAATTAAAAACATAGTCAATACTTTAATTAAAGAGAAAAATGAAAACAAAACCTTCAGGGCCTGGTTATTTTTGTCATGATTTCTTTCATATTGCTATAATTCTGACTGCAGACACACACATCACATTTATAGAAATAAATACATGTGCCAAAAAATAGACCACCCATCCATATGATTATAGAGAAAAGTCATAATGTTCACAAACCATATTTGTTTTTAAAATTCATCAATAATCATCAGATTTTCCAACAATTTATCTATTTTGCTAGGAGATTTGATTAAATAAAATGAATTGATGGCAATTTAAAATATTTAAAAGTCAGGCATTACCACTTAATATCAGCACAAAAGAAAAAAAGACAGGAGAAAAAAGTGACTTTCTCAAAATGAGATGGGAAACCTTTCTTACACTGATGACTTCTATTATTCTTCATGAGAAAAACGGTGAGAAATCTTAGTGGCAGCAACAGTATTTAGCATTGCTCAGGCAAGTTCTTAAGCTGAAAACAGAAAAATTACTATAATTTTAAAGCAGAAGGAAAAGTTATTGTATTGAAAGCAATAATGAATTCCATAAGAGTTGATCAAATTAAAACTGTTTTCGGGTAGTACTCGAGTTTGAACTCAGGGTTTCATTCTTGTTAGTTAGGCACCCTATTGCTGAGTCATGCCTCTAAAAGCTGCTTTTTCTGGTTAAAGATAGGGTCTTCCTTCCTTTGCTGGGTGTGCTCCTGGACTATGATCTACCTATTTTTAGCTTCCCATAGTTTCATGACAGGCATGAACCACCAGTTTCCCTTCATTGAGTTGGAGTCTTATAGACTTTTCTTCCTAGACTGATTTGGAACTATAATCTCCCTACTGAGCTTTCCACTTAGCTTAGGATAACGATTGAGATACATACACACATGTATATGTATCAGTTGAGTTTTTGTATATTACATAAACTTTATTTATTTATTTATTTTTGTTGGTCGTGGGGCTTGAACTCTGGGCCTGGGCACTGTCCCTCAGCTCTTCATCTCAGGCTAGCACTCTACCACTTGAGCCACAGCACCACTTCTGGTTTTCTGGTGGTTTATTGGAGATAAGAGTCTCACGGACTTTCTTGCCTGGGCTGGCTTTGAAGCATGATCCTCAGATCTAAGGCTCCTAAGTAGCTAGGATTACAGGCATGAACCACTGGTGCCTGGTTTATTCAAACACACACACACACACACACACACA